CCCCCCCAAAGGGGTTGCAGCCTGGGGTGCTGGGTGCCCCCTCTCTTATAGCCTGGGGTGCTGGAGGGTGCCTCAACCTTATCGAGTTAGCTTCTCCTACAGCTTGGGGCACTGGGTAGCTCTCTGTCCCTTTGATGTTCCTACCATTATTATGGCTCTATTAACTCTGAGTCCTAGTCATGTCGGGTGCTGGGTAGCCCCTCTGCAGCAGTAGTCCCCCTCTCCCGCTGTGGTTACAGCCTTTGATGCTGGATAGTGCTGCTGTGACATTGGGTATCCACTGAACTTGGGTCATTTATCACCCTCAAACTCCTGATGGGTAACCACAGGGTGAGGACAAACCCGCTTACCGGCAGGAGGCATTTGTTCCCCCATTGAACCTTCTCAACAAGCAGTTTCTGTTTATCTTTTAAAGGGAATAAATATATGAACAAACATTATGGCTGTGCAAACTCAGTTTGGTTTTAAAATGGACTGGAATGCCCAAGCCCTCTGGCTTCTGGCAGACTGCTAATATGGGTCTCTGTCCTAAAGTTTCCTATATTGTTGGAGAAAGGAATGCCAGGAAAATTCACCTCTGCTAGACAATATCGTCAAGAATCTCCCAGCTCCAGGTAATATTCCCCACTTTCTCTTTCTTCATAGTTTATATGGTTCTCATCAGGGCTTTGGAGCTGTGCTCCGGCTCTGCTCCAGCTCCAGGCAAAAACCTGCTGCTCCGCGCTCCAGCTCCGGGCTCCGCTCCAAAGTCCTGGTTCTCATGATCACTTGCTAAATATGACCTTGATCCTCTGAGCAGCCACATGGGCAGACTCCTATTGACTTCAAAGGGGCTTCATATGTGCATGAATGGAGCAGTTTGAAGCATTGGGGCTTTAATGATGGCATGTGATTTACCTTTGTCTGCAGCTTCAGTACATCTGTATGGCTTACCCAGTTTTTTCCCCAACAATTTCAAAAATCACTGCATCGAGTCCAACAACATTATTTTGTGTCCCCTTTGTCGTCCCTCCCTCCATCTGGCCTATGCACTCTTTCAGTTTGTAAATAACAATTGTTCTTCAGGCATGTGCTGTGTCTCCTCATCTCAAAAAAGATATACTGGCACTAGAAAAGGTTCAGAAAAGGGCAACTAAAATGATTAGGGGTTTGGAACGGGTCCCATATGAGGAGAGATTAAAGAGGCTAGGACTCTTCAGCTTGGAAAAGAGGAGACTAAGGGGGGATATGTGATAGAGGTATATAAAATCATGAGTGATGTGGAGAAAGTGGATAAGGAAAAGTTATTTACTTATTCCCATAATACAAGAACTAGGGGTCACCAAATGAAATTAATAGGCAGCAGGTTTAAAACAAATACAAGGAAGTTCTTCTTCACGCAGCGCACAGTCAACTTGTGAAATTCCTTACCTGAGGAGATTGTGAAGGCTAGGACTATAACAGCGTTTAAAAGAGAACTGGATAAATTAATGGTGGTTAAGTCCATTAATGGTTATTAGCCAGGATGGGTAAGGAATGGTGTCCCTAGCCTCTGTTTGTCAGAAGATGGAGATGGATGGCAGGAGAGCGATCACTTGATCATTGCCTGTTAGGTCCACTCCCTCTGGGGCACGTGGCATTGGCCACTGTCGGTAGACAGGATACTGGGCTAGATGGACCTTTGGTCTGACCCGGTACGGCCGTTCTTATGTTCTTATGATGCTCAGTGGTGCTAAACATGGGACGATTTAACACAGGAGTTAAAAAAGAGAGATTTAAAATATCACGTAAATATGCATGAAATTCTTCATCCTCCGTGTAGGATACAGTACTGTTTCAAAGATCTGAAATTCCCAATTATCCAAAACAGGTTTATGTCCCCCAGCATTCATTACATAAGAACGGACATACTGGGTCAGACCAAAGATCCATATAGCCCCCTATCCTGACTTCCGACAGTGGCCAATGCCAGGTGCCCTAGAGGGAATGAACAGAACAGGTAATCATCAAGTGATCCATCCCCTGTCGCCCATTTCCCATGCTGCCAATCCTGGAGATTGATGACTTCTATCTACAGAATGGGTAATAAGTCTACCCAAACTGCCCTGCCACTGTACCTCAACACTGATGAGGGACAACCTCAAATGAGAGGGTAACTGATTATAAAGTTGCTGTCCTCTTTGAGTCAATCCCTGTCCCTTCTCTCCAGGTTTTTTTAGTCACTGGCAACAGCTGTAGTGATGGTCTCGCTGTGACATGGACATCTGAGGAACTAGACTGAGGCCACCAAGCTCATTTCACATAGGTCATCAAATAGCCATTAGATCACGAGTGTCAAACTTATTTGGAGAAGGCCTGATTCCAAAATAAAAAATTAGAACTTCATACTCTTCTCAATCTATGGCAGATCGCGGCCTAATGTCAGTGGGAGGTTGTACAAAGATCAAGTGCAGAATACAGCCTTCATGTAGTAATTAAGCTTCAATTTATTATGTATTCAGTACCTTATTATCATATTCAGTGTGACTCCATGAGAAAATCCTTGAAACATGAGACACCTCTGAATTAGGGAGATCTTTCAGTCATTACCGAGCTGTTCTGAATTTGAATCAGTGAAATATTAGTGCATTTACTATTCTAGTATCATTATTACCTCTCTTACTCCACAAACTTATCCCTTGTGCCTGAGACATAGCTTGTCCATATTCAATTTATATTCCTACTTGGTTTTATAAAACTCTTCAATATGTTTAGACAGCCAAATCATTAGAGAAGCTAACTGACATAATCTCTTTTCAATATATTTTGCCTCATGTTATTGTTCTTGGATTTCAATGTAAATCCAAATAAAAATGGTAACTGTCTTAAATATTCCTAGCACCATGCGTAACCCTAGATTCATCTTCTTAGTTCAGTGATGATAGTGCAGGGAAACATGGAGTAAATAGCACAGTGGATTAATCCATAAATCTTTCTCCTCTGGTGATCTTGAGTCAAATTCTGATTTAGTCTCTAGTGAAAAGTATTTGGGAATCTTATTGTTGTCCCTAAAACATTGATTCTCATAGCAAAACTAACTGTTGCTACACAATTGATAGTCTGTGCTTAGAGAGGATGAGGACTGGAATATCAGGAATTTTGCAGGGCAATTCTCAGAGTTGCAGGAGGAAGTCTATGTATAGTCTCTCCATATTATGTGCAGCTTTTCAGTAATTTATTCTAATAAGCACTACATCTCCACAATTTTTAAACACTTAGCATTTACATACTGTGGTGTGTCACATATTCAGATCTTTGTCTAGATGTTAACTGAATAAGCACCTTTAAAGAGTTTTAGTGATACAGTTTAAAAAAAAACAATTTACAAACAAAGAAAATTTGATTCATATCCTTCAATCCACATTCAGGCAAATCTCTCATTACAGGCAATAGAAAATTTACCTGGTTTAAAAACTAGGATTTGCCCCGTATAAGAACAATATAAGCTCTTCTTTAACAGGCTCAATCTCTAAACTGTTTCCTCAAAGCAATCTACCGGTAGTTTAATTTCATATAGACAGTTAAAACAGAGCAGGGCTTCCGTATAGTTAGTCTGTTATGACACTAGTAACTTTCGACCAGTTTCTGATACCCTTATTCATGTTGAAAAGCACCTTACTCCACAAGTAGGCCCACTGAAGTCGTGAGTAAGGTGCTGCCCAACATGAGTAAAGGTACCTGAAGCTAGCCCTCTAAATTTTTACAAATTATAATTACTAATAATTTTAGTTTCTTTCAGATGAAACTTCACATCAAAGTTTAAATGTGTTCTTTCAGCTACTGATTTTATTTTTCTACTAACAGGCAATGGAAACCATAGAAATGGAGAACAAAGGTAAACATTGGGTGGAGAAGTTATTTTCTCCTCATTTTAGTGCACAAGATTTTTTTAGTCAAGCCTATCAGCCTGAATCTCTGATGTTTGAAAAATTGGCTTTAGCGAGAGCAAAGAGAGTGGAAGAAATCTACAATAGAGCAATTAAAAATTTTCAAGAAGAAAAAAGGCTCAAAAAGAGAGAATATTTTTCCAAACTCATTGTACGAGAATATGAACCAAACATAGTAGGTGCAAAGATAAACATTTCAAAGAAGGAAACAGAAGAGGATTCTGCCTGCTGTGGAGCTGGTAATTTAGATGTTGGGACTGAAGAAAGCTTAAAGAAAACAGAGGGTCATTGTATCTGGAATGCAAAGGAATTAGCAGATTTGCGACAAGAAATGCACAAGAACCATGTGGAAGGAGTTTCTCTGAAACTTCAGCTGTCCACTTTGAATGCAGAGTTAGTGGAACTGAAAGCTAAATGCAAAAAAATACAAGTGGACTTTGAAAATGCTGAACAAGAACTTCTAAACTGCAAAACAGAGGTTCGCTGCAAAAATATCCAATTACAGCAGATTCAAAAGGACAGCTTAAAAAAAGATTTTGAGCTTCAAGCCTTAAAACAACATTTACATGAAAAATCAGCAAACATAAGAAGCTTAAATGAAGAGCTGCTTCAGGCAAGAAAAGAAATTCAGAGTTTGGATCTAAAGAACAAGGATTTACAACAAGAAGTTAAGAAGTTAAAACAGCAACATGATCTTGGAAATAAGGCCTGCATAGAAAAGGTGAAACTGCATTATGATTTAAAAATAAGAAACATACAAAAAGAACTGGAGGATGTTAGAAGTGAGCTGAGTGATGAAAAACTTTTGCATGCTAAGAATGTTAAGGCTTTAGAAATACTTAGGAAACATTTTTCAGCCCAACCATTATCTAATATATTTGACAATCTGAGAGTAGATTTTCTTTAAAATAAAACAAGGAGAGAAAATCCTTGCTAGTTGCACTCAAAAAGCCCTAGTAACTATATTTTCAGTTTTACTTGACTTTCTACTTTTCAAATGCTTCTTGGTTTAATGTTGAACTTTTATTGTTAAGTTTTAAGGCAGTCACGTGTGACATTAAAACACTATCTAGTTTTAAAATAGCTTTGTTCAGAGTTTTGTTTGAGTGAAATTGTACCTTGATTCTTTGACAAGAGCGTCCCTGTGAGTCTTCATGCCACTGACATCCATTATACCCTTCCTGCAGTAATATGCATCTCCTTTCTCCTGGAGAACTGCTTTGTAGAGAGGAAACACTAGTTTGTATTGAGATCAATCATGGCTTTGATACTTAATTTGAATGTCGGGTTCTATATCCCTCACTCTTTAGATGTATGAATTGACAAATGCCGAATAAACAAATTCTGACATGTTCCAGTCATCTTAAATGCTACAATGTCCTGACTTGTAGCTCTGATTTTCTTTCTGTTTGGTCTGCCTGTGATAGTTCATGTCTGTACGGGTGTATCCATTGCCACAGTACCAATCCTTTAGTTTAGACAATATCACGTGCAGGTCCTTTGATTACCCAGCAGGGTGTACTGTCTACACAGCTCTGAAGCATAATTCCACTAGACCCTTTAAAATCTGCTGTACCCAGATTTTACTTTCTTACAGTTTGCTAAAAATCATGTTGCTGTTACTATAGCATTTGGTTTGCAGTTTATATTGTTGCTCATAACTGTTGTAACAACGTTTGTTCTCTTTAAAATCTCTTGGAAATTCATGTTAAAATTATGTGTTGATTTTTGGAGAAGGTTGTAAAGCTATACCTTAATTTGAAATAATATTACTGCTAAATGTTTAATTATTAAATAGTGCACCTGCATGTGAGAGGAGCTAGTGAATTTTTTCTAAACAGTCTGTGTGTTACAACTACGGTCTTTCTCTGCTGATAGTATGAATGATTTATTTAATAAAGTATTATTAATAAATTGATGATTGATGTATGTGTTATACACAGTCACTTAAATTTTAATTTTAATTTTGGCTCAAAAGGATTCCTCTCAAAAGCTGAAAAAACTAAATTCCAGAAACTATCCTGAGAGCAGAAGTGTAGAAATCTAGAATGGTGTAGGATAATTCCTATAGTTTCTTTCCTCTTCATTGTAACATTTTTCTTGAATTTTAATTGGGTAAATAAATGAATCATGCAGTTCTATTCACTCCAAATGATGAAATGACTATTAACTAATTGTTGCCTTATGTGTTTTTAGAATGTCAAATATTGGGGTACTGCTACATCTAAAATCTAATTTATTATAGCATTTTACCTGTTTTGGCTAGGAGTTTCTATAAATCTATCACCTAAATATATTTACTCTCCCTGAAAAGTCTCATGCTTTGTCTGGTTATAAATGTAACTTATATCAGTCAAGCAAGTGGTATGTAATTTGAACTGAGCTCATTTAAACCTTCAACCAAGCAATAAGTATTACTTGTTTATATGTTATAACACCCAAAAAGTTAGAACATAAGAACGGCCATACTGGGTCAGACCAAAGGTCCATCTAGCCCAGTATCCTGTCTTCCGACAGTGGCCAATGCCAGGTGCCCCAAAAGGAATGAACAGAACAGGTAATCTTCCACTGATCCATCCCTGTTGCCCATTCCCAGCTTCTGGCAAACAGAGGCTAGGGACACCATCCCTGTCCATCCTGGCTAATAGACATCGATGGACCTATCCTCCATGAACTTATCTAGTTCTTTTTTTAACCCTGTTATAGTCTTGGTCTTCACAACGTCCTCTGGCAAGGAGTTCCACAGGTTGACTGTGCATTGTGTGAAAAAATACTTCCTTTAACGCTGATCTTTTGTTTCTCAAGTATATCTGCAACCCAAAATATTTAGCTGGAATGTATAATAATAATACACGCTATAATAAAGTGTGAAGTACTTTATATTGTGCATCTCCAACACTTACTATTTTGTGATAAGTAGGTTTGTTTCCTAGTGGGGAATGGGATTGTTTGCTGGGACTGTAGAATTCTTGCCATTTTCTGTGTCCTATCATCGGTAGAGCCAGACCTTGATTCTGGAGACAAATGCCTTCTTACATCAACCAATTAAGTTCTTTTTCACTCTGCTCTCTCTCATTTTGTAACTTCTGCCCTCTTCTCTGTATGGAAGTTATCACCAGTGATACCTGCTGGATTCTCTTGAAGGCTGTGTTCTATTGACCTTCCTTCAAAGGGGGAGAACTCAGAAGCTGATTGACAGAAAGACTGCTTCTAGTCTGCTGCAGAGATAAGCACTAAAACTAAGTTTTGTTTACACGATTCATATTAATCAAGAACCTAAAGCACATGGTTGAGAAGAAAATCCCCCCCACCCCGACTATATGAGGAGATGAGTGATTTTTAAAGGCTATTGGGCTTCTGTTCCATGATTCATATTTATAAGGGGGGATACATTTAAAAATAACCCATTTCAAAGGTATTGGCCAGGTTTTGCCTGTCCCTCCGTTCTAAGAGTGAGTGCATTTTCACTGAGGAATTTAATGGAAATTAAATCTCTACTGGAATGATCCATTCCACTCCCAAACTTTCAACACAGTTTTGTACCTTGGATGAATGCTCTTCTGAATAGCTTAGAGGGGGTGCAGAAAGCCACCTTAAACTAGGAAATGTTTCTGCTAATTTACTTAAGTGCTAGAATAGGTAAAATAAATAAATACAATTGTAAAAATATAGAAGCAACCCATCCTAAGGGTAGAGGCTATGTCTTTGTAAATGGGGGCTGAGTGGTTTTCCCAAACTTCCAAAGCAGGCTGGGAAGAACCCTGCTGTCCAGCAGATTGAGAGAATCAAAAACCTGGTCCAGGAAAGTGGCATTTAATCATGTAGATTCTGATGGCTGTCCTGAATAGTCAAGTTTGGAGATGGGTTGGCGTCTTGGAAGTAGGAGGGAGACTGCAGAGTGAATGTGGATATGGTCCATGGGCTTTTGTACTCTGTCCCACGTCCAGGGCTGGCCCACAACATTTTGGCACCTGAGGTGGGGAGCTCAAATGACGCCCCTATGCCCCCTCACTTGGGCCAAAATTTTGAAAGGTCTCAATTCTGCCTTCTTCCTGTTCTACTCCTCTCATGGTACTGCTCTGCTACCTACCCCAATAAAGGAGAACTAACAACTTAAAATGCCTTGTTCAAAAATTTTAAGTAACACTTAACTTTTAAACGCCTGAACAGCAAATGTAACTTTTCTTGTCTGCATAGTAAACACTGGCATTTTTATCTGTTTGAATTATCAAAGTGGTGCTTTCCATGCCTTCTTGGTTGCAAAGATTTGAACTGCTTCCTGCTGAAGGTCCACAGTCTGGGCCAGCTCATGCTCTGTTGAGATGGTTGCAAGGCCGACCAGCCTCTCCTGTGTGATAGTGGAGCGTAGATGTGTTTTTATTAACTTCCGCTTGGAGAAGCTGCGTTCTCCACTGGCAACTGTTACAGGAAGTGTTAGAAGTATGCGCAGAGCAACAAAAGCATTTGGAAAGAGGGTGTCAGCTTATTTGTGCACATATATTCCAGAACAGCCTTTGGAGTTAATCCTGCTGAAATGTATCTTGAAAGGGCTTTCAGTCCATCACCTAAATCACTCGCATCAATATCACACATGTCATCATGTGTCAACACTGTCTCTAGTGCCCTGTATTGCTGGTGTAGGTTTTCTTCAGCATTCTGGGGTTTTGAGTACATAAGCCATGGCCTCTCCACTTTGTCACCATTGGGGATTTCACGCCAGTAATGTGTTGGATGGAAACTTCTATTTTCATTGTCTTTGGGGAACATGAAGTTTTTCACTTGCTGTGGCCGAGGCAGTACAAGGAAGTCCCTCAGGCTACTGCTCAAGTGGGTCCACAGTCCTGGATCATCTAGACTTAAGGAACTAAACTCAGCAGCAGCTGTTTCTTGCGCCTCCACCAAACTCTTCTCTGATCTACACCTTTCTTCAGGAATGTGCATGGTTACATCCATTTGAGATGGAGATACGGATGCTGCAGTAGCTGCCAGGTCACCTGCACTCTGACTAACTGGAAGATCAGGCATCTCCTCACCACTCACATCCTCACTGGGGCCGGAAGGGTCACTGTGAACATTTGTGTCTATGTATCTCAGGAGAGCTCCTTCCTGCTTAGATAGAAAAGCTTCCTTTGCGTTCTTCCTTTTTCTGAATGCTGCCCCAGAGGGGTGTTTTCTTCTTTCACTCATGACTGCTGTTCTGTGCCAGCTAGAGTGGCTCTCAACACTCAGTTGAAGGGGACAAATAAGCAGGCTGGTAGCAGGGCCTGAGTGAGGGAAGATATCAGCTTCTTAAGGGCCTAATTCGCTCCTACTACTTCAGTTGACTGCCTGTTCTCCGCAAGTGGGTTCAGGGAAGCAGCAGGAAACAGGAAGCTCCCTGAGAAGCTGGTGTTAATCAGTCCAGGTTCCTGGGGGTGCTAGAGAGGTACATAAGAGGCTCCTCCTCCTCTCTCTCCCTGCAGCTCCTGCTGCTTTCTGTTATTCCCTCTCACCTTTTCTCCTGCCTGCCTGTTATGTCTCTTGTGCCCTCCTTCCTCCAGCACAGCACTCCACCATTTCTGTGCATCTAGAGCAGAGAGAATACATATGCACCAGCAGCAGACACAATTTTCTACAGTCTGGGTCCTAGTGGTGCCCCCCCAACAGTCTGGCACCTGAGGAGGCCGCCTCAGTTCGCCTCATGGTAAGGCCAGCCCTGCCCATGTCTAAGCCCTGTCCTGTGTGTTGCTGTGCAGCAACCTTGCATGGAGCTGGGTGCTGCTTCGTCCAGTCTCCAGCCCTCATTTTGTGCACTAAAACTGCACCTGTTCCAGTGCAAAAGGATCCTTTTTACTGCCTCTCTCCTTCCTTTCCTACTCCCTACCAGGCAAGCGCTTGAAGTGCACTTAAATTTGAGTACGTTAATTTAGCAGCATATCCAACTTGAGGCCAAAAATGAAAATTAGCCTTCTACCTTGTAAGCACCACTGAACAGCAGAACTGGCTGACTCTCCCTCTTATCTTCCGCCTTTACAAAAGTTATTCTCTGATCCTTTTTGGCCAGAGTGCTCCATGCAGCACTTTGGGAAGAATGTTAAGTGTGAATGTGTTTTATGAGGGACAGTAAGGATCCCAATTTGCTTGCATGGTTTTAAAGGACATGGGAGGCCAGTTTTAATTTTTAGTCCCAGATCAGAAGTGCCTAGTATTGTACTGTGTGCAGGATTTTTAAGTGTAAGTTTCATGTCCCTCCAGCAAGCTTGTCCTTGAGGGAGGGGCATGAAACATGCATATAATCCAACTTAATTAAAAAGTAAGTAGATCAATTTGTAGCACTGTGCTATTTTGTTCCCACATATTTTGTTCATGGACTGGGTGTCTTAGCGAACCAGTCTTGATAATGTAGGCAGGATGAACACATATTTAACATAAGTTACAGTATTGTTTCCCCTACATTTGAGGGACGGAGAGTGTGATGGGGCATCTTCCCCACACTGCCCAGTAAGGGGTTAATAGAGCCCTTAGGAGACTGTGCGAAAAGAAGCCAATAGGAGAGGGTCTGGGAGGAGTGGCCAATCAGGGCCCAGCAGGCCAATATAAAAAGAGCCTCAGGACACAGCAGGCTTAGTAGCTGCTTGGAGCTTGAGGAGGGAGGATTGTGTCTGGAGTAAGCTGCAACCCTGTAGCATCTTGGATAGGCAGGAACCCGGGGAGAAGAGAAGGAGCTCCGGATGGGCTGCTTGGATTGAGGAGGGTGCTGTGGTCACAGGGAAGTGGCCCAGGGAAATGCAGTGATAGTAGAAGCAAAGGAATGCAGTAAGTGACTGTGATTTGGAGGGTACCTGGTCTGGGATGTTGAGTAGTGGGTGGGCCTGGGTCCCCCCCACTTACTACTGGGGAAGTGGCAAGACAATTGACTACAGTTGCCACTGGGGAAGTGGCTGGAGTAGGAGCTAAACTCCCCTGGTCAGGGGAACATTGATCGGGACATGGCTGGAGGGCCGAGTCACAAAGAGGATGCTGCGGTTCTGGATGCTGTGAGAGGTGCCGCAGGCAGACTGCAGAGAAAAAGTGATGATGTGCAGACTGCACATGTGGGTGTCAACCTTGAGCTAATTCCCAGAGTGAACAGGAGGAAGGTCCAGTCTGGCAGTGATTGATGTGCCCCATGACAGAGGGTAAATATTTTAATGCAAAATGCCCCAAATTTTGCTTAGCCTAATAATCTGAAGTCTTTTTGTGGCCGTGTCGGAGCGGGGCAGCTCCCCTGCTGAAGTCAGCAGAGCTGTGACAGGTTATACCAGCTGAAGATCTGCCCTCCACTCTTTAAACCACTATCAATCCTTGATTAGTATTGGTTTAACAATTGAAAAATTAATGATAACATTTATTCAAAATGCTTCACTTTTGAAAACCTTATTTATAGTCTTACTATACAGGCCTTTAGTATCCTACTGTTCCTTACAGGCCTCAGGCTAGAGTATATTGAGCTTGAATATTGTCA